CTAGTGTTAACATTTGACTTTTACAAGAATGACACCCAGCTCCGACGATGTCCATCATATGATGGACGAATGCTCAGCACGGTTTCACCCAAAACGAGGGAGGAAGTCCCGTGGACTGCGTCAACATGAATCTCGTATAAACTCCAACCGGCTGCAGTACAACGAGATTCATTCGTCCTCATCCGGTGAGATCGACCAACGAATCTCTTCTTCATTCACTTTCATACGAAATGAAGGTCCCCCTAACAATGAATAAAATTAATTGGAAAAAAATAGCCAGAAGCAGGAAAGAGACAATCGCTGGTCTTCATCAAGTGCGCTTTGCTCAAGCGATTAGAAAGCCACCGTCCTCTGACCTTTCATCTAAATCTACTCGTGTGAGTCTAACTCTCTCATCTAAATATGCATTTAGAAAATAGACAATAAATGGCACATGGAATCGCGATATGAAGTAATGCATGGGCCATTTGAAAACTTGCAGAAGAATGAACAGGTAAAATGTCATCCTATTAGAAATGGGTCAGAGTTCAACAATGAGTTTAGCAATTCTCAACGGGGCGTCTCTCCAATCTGCTGAAAAGGTCAGTCTTGCTTCGTGACTTTCCTTTGGAGATGCGGGGCAAAAGAAAAATTGTACACTTACTTGACACAAAGCGTTTGTAGGCGATGCCAATTGTGCGCAAACCGTCTGCCGCCATCGGTTCGATCACTTGCTCCGTGAGCATGGCCTGGTCTTCCCGCGAAAAAGGTCGGGGATCCTCGTTGGGCCCCATGATCCAGGAACACCTAAAAGGAAAAAAGGCACGGCAACATAAACATACCAATTTACCAGTTCACTGTCAGATACATATTGTGAGCTGGCATATGCTATAGCACACGCTTGTGTGTCAACATGTGCAGACGCATGTAAGGGTATCCGTGCGTGCGGATAGACTTACGTTAAATTGGACGAAAGTGTGTGCACGTGTGTGTGTGCCAGTATGAGATGATAAAATGTCGACTGTGGAAAAGTGTTATAGCAAAATGGATGTGAATAAGCGAGTAAACTCCAAAACATGCATAGAAAAGTGGAAAATAGACAATTAAGGAGAAATATTTTATCAGCCAATATTCAAAAGGAAAAACTATTCAAGTGCGACAAAACTAAGATCTTGCAACGCAAAAGGTTACTTTCTTTGACATCGGCAAGGGCTAGTCAAAACCTGCTCCTTGTTGTAGGACGCTGGAGTTAATTAAACCGAGAGAAAAAATTTGATCCAGAGCAAAATTTTTAGGCGTTCGTCACAAAATGCAGAATAGCGACTATGCTTTGGTGTCTCCAATCCTTAAAGATCCGGCCATTGATGTACCGCTTTAAATTACAGTAAAGGGTTGAAACGATCAAACTTAAAGCATCGTCTTAAAGAAAAGTGCAGACGGAATGCATCCAAGCGAAGATGCTTTTTCAAAAAATTATAACAATTTATCTTAAAACGGTGAAAAAACCTTCACGACCATTTAGTCATAGATATTAAAGGAAAAAGATGTGGATTTAGCAAAAGGCAAATGGGGCTTAATCGGCGTGATTAATTGATGATTGGTTATAATTGAATAAGGAGGTTGACGTTCTGCTATAAAAATAAATAAAAGTCCCAATCACTCAGTCACACAATGGGAATGGAGGGCTAACAGATGAATTTTCCTGCAATACTATTAACAGGCTTCATGTGTTCCTTAAATTTTACTTAGCCCTGCTTCCCACTCCAGACAGAAGTGAACGTCAGCATCCTCGACTTGAATCAAACCTACTACGCCGCCAGGCCAAGGGTCAAACGTGATTTTCAAGGCAAGCCAGGCATCTCCCATTTCATATCAACAGTAGGCTTGCCGATAAGATACATGTTTTGTATGTAGAAAAACTGGGTTTCAAAGAATCTCTTTCATCTTGCTTGAAGAGGCGATTGGAAGGGATTCGAAAGTTGATTCTACCGGAAGCTATGGAGGTATTGCCTTGGAGGTTTGACTGTAGATTAGTTGGTTTCGGAAGACAAGAAAGGTCGCATTTTTAAAAAATTATCGTTAAGCATTGTGTCCTGCTCTGACGATGCCACTCACACAACGGACAAAAGCAATGACAAAATACACGTTTTGTATGTAGAAAAACTGGGTTTCAAAGAATGCCTTTCATCTTGCTTGAAGAGGCGAGTGAAGGGATTCGTAAGTTGATTCTACCGGAAGCTGTGGAGATATTGTCCTGGAGGTTTGACTGTAGATTAGTTCGTTTCGGAAGACAGAAAAGGTCGCATTTTTGGTAAATTATCGTTAAGCATTGTGTCCTGCTCTGACGATGCCACTCAGACGACGGACCAAAGCTCAGCAAGGACTTATCTTGGTCGCAGGGCGGTGCGCCGAGGACATATTCGTAAAAATGTACAATCACAGTTGCAAGGCAACCCCACCACAGCCTCCGATGAAACCAACTCACGAACCCCTGCCACTCGCCTCTTCAAACCAAATGAAAGGTACTCCAACATCAATATACCCTTTAACTATGCATATGAAGAAGATATTTGGGCTTCAGTTTTAATAGCAAGCTCTCTTGACTGCATTGAAGTGGTTTGACCTCATTTTCTCACCTTGACACTTTGTCAGAAATCTTCTCTTGCAATAGTTATGATAAGTCGCAGCGTCGGATCGTGGACTTAGTACACTCCTAAACATCTTCAATGAGTCTTGTCGGTCTTGTCAGCAAGCCACTATTCATCAAAGTGTATCGCTCTACCAAATTCCTGAGTGGTCACTCCTTCTTCCGTCCTGGTACATTCGCATTTCTCTAAACCTGGTATTTTACGCCCTTGCTATGACAACTTCTAGTCTGTGCATATTCGACTCCTCGAGAGGGGTAATCTTGATCCGGATCAGCCTCGTGGCCGCGGAGATCGGTTTCTTATCTTTCCGGTTGACCGAATTGCCTCGGTTCCAGTCACTGTAGACAGTTTGCTCCGGCCGCTATTTCGACTGACTATGCCAACTGCCATGCCGGCAAACGGTGGAAATGAACAAAGTCCATGGTCTGGCGATGATAATTATCGTAACTACTACAGCAGAGGAGTTCAAACAGGGTGTGTTCATATAGTTTCCCCTGGCAGCACAAACAGGTCGCGAAAACACAAGTTGGACTCATCGGCAAGCCCATGGGAAAGGCCTGTTTTACATTGAAATTCACATCTGTCCGGTGCCTTGACGATATGGTGTAGTGGCAACAGGTTTCGACGCGCTTGAGTCCCTTCTGGGATGTTGATGAGATCGGGACGAGTTCGAAACTGTAATCCGGTCTCGCTGAAAATACTTTTTGGAGGCAATGTTAAGTGAAAAACGATGGCATTCTTCTTGAGTCCTTCATCGCGCTATACAAGAACCCTTATCCGAGACCTACTGAAAGACTCGAAGTCTACCCATTCTGAAAACGAAGTTATGCCATTTAAATACGCCTGAACGAGGCAGAGCTCGGCAAATCCTCAGGCCTATAAAGAAGCCACCAGCAAGGGACAACTCTGCTGACTCAATAATTCACACTGATACGAGGTTGGCTCGGTGAAATTGACTAAATTTACAAAAGAATAGAAATCTAGCAGTGAGCAAAGTATACTCACAAATGGGATAATTGAGTGATTAGATCGTTAGTTGATTATCTGCATGGCTGAGTGAGTGGATGAAATAATGAAGTGAGATATAAAATAATGGTGGATAGAGCGATAGATATGGAGCGAGATGAAAACACACAGGCAACCAAGCCTGATGCAAGTGATCAAACAGATAAGAATGCATCTCGAACTGTGACATATAGACTGTTCTGGTGAGTACAAACAGCGAATGAAGTGTATGGAGAGGGTTTAAGAAAGCATGCGGTTAGGAATAAGCAGGTATACACCACAAGGAAAGCAAAAGAGACAGGTTCACGAGCATCCAGGGCCAGACACTAAAAGTTGGCTATCGAGATCTGACCGGAAGTACATTCTGTCTGACCAAGCCGCCTCGAAGGACTGCGGATGGCTGTACTAACAAGTCGGTGTGAACATATCCACAAATTGCAGCAGTCGTGATGCCTTATTGAATCAGATACTTGCTTAACTAGTGTTCCTCAAAAATATTGCTCTTAGCACGAAGAGTAGGCTGGATTTAGAAGGAATAAGAAATGATTTTTAGATGGCCCAGAAGTAAGCATTTGGCACGATAAATGTTAACAGCTTACAAGACTGTTCAGATAGCCCTCAGCTGTTGGGCATAGGTGACTTTTGGTAGGACCATACAAAAGGCCACACCATCTTGATCTTCATACCTTCGAGTAAATTTGTAAAGTTATTTTGACAATGAGGAGAGTATGCTTGACGATATTACTACATTAATACTGAGTATGCTACGAAATTACGACAATAACTTCTACTACTACTAATTGCTGTGTTGAGAAAAGCTCAAGATCGAAAATGCAGTGTAGATCAAACGAGAAAGGCTTGCTGAAGGAAATGTAGAGAAATGCAATGGTGCCGTAGGAACGACTATTAAATTAATTGCATAAAACTCAACCATCTGGCTTTACATTCCCCTAAATCATTTAAAGTTAATCTAGCTTTTATAAGAGTACAACTAAATTTA